AGTAGGGTAGGAGTGGGGTAGGTCCTCGCCACTCAAAGTGGGGCCGTGGACCAGCAGCAGCAGCACTGGAAAGCTTGTGAGAAATGCAGTCTTGAGTTCTAACCAGACTCACTGAGGCAGAATTTGCATTTTAGCAAGACCCCCAGGTGATTTGTGTGCACATTGAAGTTTGAGAAGCTCTGTCCTAGAGCAGCGATTGTCAACTGTGGGTACATATTAGAATCACGTGAGGCATTTATTAAAAAGTTATTAAAGTTGTTAATGCCTGAGTTCTCTCACCCCCTCCACCAGAGGTTCTGGTTGAATTTGCTGAGAATGGGGCCCAAACAGAGCTTTTTTAAAAAAGGGCTCCTAGGGTAATTCAAATATTCAAATGTGCAGCCAGATTTGAAAGCCACTGGGGAGAGAATACAAACAAAAAACATTAAAAAAAAACCCCAAAAGTTGTCATCTTCAGGAAACTCATTTATTTGTTTATTCATTAAATGTTTATTAAGCATTTATTTTCTGCCAGTAATTATCATCCAGTTCATTGGCTAGAGCTACCAAGTGCCCCAGGAAGCAGCAGTCACGGCAGCTTGAGGAAGAATCGAATCCACACCTATACTTTGGTCATGGCACACAATATCTGTGGGCTTATGCCCACCTAGGGGGCCCTGGTTGATGATGGAGCATGTCCATATTTTTTCACAATGGGACTTTGTTATTGATACCTTTTTGTGTTTCAGCAGAGAACTGTTGCCCACAATAAAGTCCCTACCAACACCAATACACTAGCGTCTGCAGATTTGAATGATAAAAGGGATGGTGATGGCGGCGAAAGCAGTTACCAGTTATCTCAGCAAGCAGCTGCCTCAAAAACAGGAGCAAGTGGTACTTTTCAGCAGAACAGCAGTGCTTTCTTTGAAAGATTTACACAACGTTCCACTGATGCTTCAGCAGTACCTTTTGAAACAGTTTGTGAGTTTTAAAATAAGTTCTCTTGATGATACATGTTGAATCTGGATGATGCTTTTATGGGGTTCATTGTACTATCTTTATGCTTTTATGTATGTTCAAAATTTTTTCATAATAAGAAATCTAAACAACTTAACCTCCTAAATTAATGAGTTAATGAAATATGGATACCTAGTTCCGAGACTGATAGTTTTAACGTTAAGCAAAACCCATTATTTTTCCTTCAGAAAGCGGTTCTCTGCTAACTCCTTTGAATGGTGTGAACTCTCAGGTTAGGCACCCTGGTTGGCAGGTAAAGACGAAGAAGCTACAGCTGGATGAGCCAGAAGTAATTCAGGGGTCTTGTTCTCTGTGTGCCGGGCACATTGCAGGTGCTCCATAAAGAATTTTTGCGTGAATGAATGAATGCCATTACTCAGAACATTGTGCTCTCATGCTAGCTGTCTGCCAGAGGCTGTCCTACTTCATTAGTGTCAATTGGCTGCGGATTCTGTAGGTGACTGTGCCACCTCCCTCTCATGATCCCTAATGCCCCCTCCCCAGGATGCTGGGGTTTATAGGCACCTGAGGTAGCAAAACTATTTTCTATCTCTCCCCCGCCCCCATGTCAATCCTAAGTAGAACATTACCTGTGAGCCTATTCATATGAAATTATTTAAACAATATGTCTTTATAGTATTTTTTTTCCATTATAAAAGTAATAACTACTGTATTTACTAAAGTTATATACTGTAGAAACAGCTTCTGGCCAAATTAAATCACTACAACAAAAATCACCAGACAAATAGCTCCTAGATTTAAAGGAGCAAAGAACAAACTGAGCTGCAGGCTATAGCCAGAGTAGCCCCAAGACTCTGGCATCTGGGGTCCATCTGGATCTCTGGGGTTCCATGTCTGCAGCATCCATGATATCCAAGTTCTAGGTTTCTCTTGTCACTGTTCAGATTCCCAGGAGAAAGAATCCAATTTGGGAAGGTTGGGTTACAGGTCTCTGACCCTGACCCACCTAGAACCAGAGGCCAGGGCAACTAAGCACATTGTGAGCCAGGCAGCTGCCCCAGTTGGCACGTAGTCTATGATACCATTTTAGTTTTCAAAATCAGAAAATATTTAGGAAGGAAGAAAAGCTCCTACAATCAAGATACCTTAAAAAACTATTATGGACAATTTAATTTTCTTCCAGTCTTTTTTTCCTTACTAACCTTTTAAAACATTATGTGCTCCATGTAATTACTCTTCTTTTTAAACATATGTATATGTTTTTCCTCAAAAACCTCCAATTGTCATAATCACTGCTTTGAACAGATATGTAAAATTCCATTGAGTAAGTGTACCCTAATTTATTTAACTACCTCCCTCCTGTTACATTTTTTCAAGGATTTTTTGGAGGGGATTATCAGTCACATAAATCATGTTGCCTAAAACCCCCAACTTCATCTTATAGGTTTTTATGTATTTTGGATTCTTCACTTAAGTGAGGTTTTCAGAATTTGAATTACTAGGTTAGAGAGTATTAACTTTTTTCTGACCCCTCATTAATATTTCCAGGTTAATCTTTCAGAGTTAAGTCTTTGGACCCACTGAGTGAATTTTGAAGTAATTTAATCTCTCTTGGTAAATATTGGGTCTGAGAGATTCAACAATTTATACTGTCACCCCTTAAATGATGGATATTCCAAGACGGAAAGTATTTAAGAATCAGATTGTATTTCTCTAATATATTTTCTTCAACAAATAATTATTATATGTAAAATATATTTTTCAAGGTGGCTAATTTGAATCACTGTGGATTGAAGAGGGATGGTGATGATTAGGTCGTAGAGTTGAGAAATGAAAACAGACTTAAAATTTATTTTTCGGTTCAAATAAATTATTTAAAATATATCTAAGACAAGTTTGTTGGTTTTTAAATGAGTTTAATACCAAATAGAAAACTTATATTTTAAAAATTATAAATGTTTCAGTAAGAATCATGGTGCTTATTTTTGAAAAGGCTTTTTTTACAATTAGGAAAACAGTGCATTAAGATGACTTAGACTTTGTTATTAAATGTAATGAAAACCTGATTGGGACCTAAAAGGTAGCACAACACTGAATTATCTTCTTGAACAATCAGAGCACATGTAATCATACCAGCATTGATTCCTGTCTCATTTCTCATGCTGTTTCATGATACACTAACAACTTAAAGCTTTAATTTTTTTAACCTCTCAAGTTCTTGAGCCTAAAAATTCAGAAAAATCAACCTTTCAGTGACAGTTTTATAAAAAAACTTGAACCTAACATCTGCCACGAAAATTGACATCTTTTTTCTCTTACTTCTAGACTATCTTGGAAATCCACGTAGAAATATACCGATACCATACTCAGTCCTGACCATAGCGAAAGCAAAGTGTCGCCCAGAGCTGTCAGCCAGATACCTTGTTCGCAAAATGTTCGCAGAGGAAGTCCTGATAAAAAGTAGCATCCAGGGAAATCCGGCGCGTGGCGTATGTGCCCTTAGCTTGAATCAGATGAATGCTCTCCGAGGTTTGTATTAGAGAAGGGCAGAAAGAAAAATCCATTTGGTTTGTGTGTATTCTGAGGAGAGAGAGTTCTTACATCTTTCTCATTAGGGCACAACAATGAGCAGGTTCATGAATTGTGTTTCTTTTTGCATTTGTGTTCTTAGGGCTAATGGCTCTGTCTTGATTGGCATTCTTAGTACAGGAAAGGCATTATTGACTGTGGGTCCCTAATATGGATTGCCAGAAGTATGGAAACTCAAACACCTTCATTTACTGAGGTTCAAGGTTGAAGCTGCTGGGCTTTGTCAGTTTGCAAAAGTGTCAACAATAGCACAGCAGGCTAATTGGCTAGTTTTTTCTTATGCACATAAGCATAATATAGCCTATATCTATTACATGTATAGATGAAGTAATAAAGCTTTCAAAAGCAATTCTGTGAAATCTTAGATTTGGACAAAACAGGAAGCAGAGTATTTCTTATTTATGTCATTGGTACCCAGCAAAGACATAGTTCCGAGCCCCAGCCTGATCTCAGCTGGTTCCTACATTCATATCACACGTTTCACATCCAACAAATTTGAACAATACTTGTATTTCAGGCTGAACTAAAGAAACCTGAAACACAAGTATTATAGAACCTTTCATAAGCATTTGCTATCATCTAATCCAATTGTTTTCATTTTTTTTTTACTGCAGTAAGATATACATTTTACATTGTGACTCAGGACGTGTGTTTGATTTAAAAAAACTGAAGCAAAATTTTCACAAACAATACTTATTCTTTCTATGAGAATTACATTCAAATGTTTACTATTCTATTTTTTGAAAGTGCTGCTAGCACTGATTTCATGACGTAGTAATTGATCACGATGTGCAATTTGAATGTCACTGAGCTAACCCTCCAGGCCAAAAACTGAAACCCAGTTCCTCTTACCTTATAGTAAAAAATGAACACAGTTTATAACCAATTCAGAAATACAAGTGTTTATAGAAGAAAATAGTGTCTTTCTAATTAAAACTTTTTAAGTGAGGAAGAGAAGGTGACTTTTATAGTTTAAACATCTGGACTGGACCAATTCCTTAAAAATTAACTAAAGATATCATTCTATGTATTTCATTTTGTTTTATCTCTTATCGAAATATCTTACAAATCAAGATGTCTTTCATAGTAAAAAATGTTTAGCACAAATTGACATAGTATCCACATATGGCATATTTTAACAAATTTCACATAAGACTTAAAGTTCTCCTTTGTAGAAGGGCAGCTGTATGAGTTATTTCAGGAGAGAGAATAGAGTCATCACTGTCCTGGGGGGCAGAGCCAAGGCCAAGGAAGCTGACGAGAAAATATATTTTACTTTAATATGAGAACAAAATGAACTGGGAGAGTGAAGAGTCAGAGCAAAGGCTCGGTGACCAGATATGAGATTCCTATACTCATAAGAGGACTGGGCTTTATGGCCTCTAACATTTCCTTAGAAGTATTAGTTCAGTATAAACTATTTAAAACATAAAAAATGCACAGAAAATAATATAGTAAAATAATAAACACCTGTCTAACCAGTACAGATATAGAAATTTTGCCTTTTGTCCTTCAGGTTTTTTTTTTAAAATAATAAAGCATTACTGATATCATTAAAACTCCATACCATTATCCTTTTCCCCTGTCTTTTTCCCCAGAAGTAATAACAATCTTGGAGTTGGATCTAACATTCTCATGCATATTTTACACATTTGCTACCTATGTTGATAAATCCATAAATAATATGTGATATTGTTCTTTAGCTATTTTAATGTACATAAATGGGGATATATATTACATAGCTTTTTGCAAATTTTTTCACTCAACATTTTTGAGATCTACTTCATGCATTTTAACTGCTGATTGGTGTCCCATTGAAGGAAGAAACCAGTTTATTCTATTGTAATATAATTTCTTATCCTAAAATTTTATTATTTGGGACGATGATTCTGGAAATTAGTAGTCAAAGGACATTATGTCCAATAGCCAAAGGTATTGATTTCATTTAAGAAACTATTATTTGATGCTCTCTAATGAGAGTTCAGTATCACTTAAGAGCTCTTTAGAGAATGGTTTATGTGGAGAAAGTTAGTAGGCTGCAGATTTTGTAATCAGTGAACAACCTCTACTCCTATACCCTCTCATCCATTTCTGCATATTATAGAACTGTAAAATCTTAGCAATAGGAAATGCATTACAGGTCCTCTAATACAACTCACCCAGAGTAGGAATCCTGATATATAGTCACCTCCTCTTGGCTTGAACATTTCCATTGATGGCAGTCTACTACATTTTAAAAGGGCTCTAATTCATGAGAAAGTTCTTTTTCCAAGTGACTCAAAATTTATCTTCTCGAAAGTAAGACACATTTGTTCTACTTAAGCTCTTTCAGAGCTAATTAGGGTAGATCCAGTCACTTTTCATGTTGATAGGCCTCTTCAAGTATTAAAAGACAGCTATTATTTCCTACTGGATCATTAGGAAGTAATAAATATAGCCTCTCCCCTCTTCAAGTTCAGAACCAAGTGAGAGCCAGTAGGATCTGGCAGGTGGAGATAAAAATATTAGCTTTATTTTTGATCAGATATGTCCGGTTCTTTCATGCTTTCTAATTTCAGAGTCCTTCTACATGGAAGCATGATGATTGGAGAATGAATGTTATTCCCAACTTTTTCTCATTAAGTCTTACACTTTTACAGTTAAATATCTCCATTTCCTTTAATAATTCCTCATATAAGTATTTTCCTAATCTTTTGTGATGTGATTCAGTGACTAACTTCAGATGTATTCAAGTTAACCCAGACTTTTCAATGGAGATTAACTCTAGATTAGCTTTTCTCATTTATACAACCTTTTCCCCCAAGAAACTTCTTTTATGACTAGTGTTTCAGAGAACACATTTTGGGAAATAGCAACTAACTTAGGCTCTTCATTGCAGCCTGTCGAAAGCTTCGCAGGTACTGTATTTGTCTTCCAGTCTATTATGTATCCTAGCTTTGCTGTCATGAGCAGATGGGACAAGCCTACTTTCCATAACTTCTTTTTTTGTTAATAAAAATGTTCAGTAGGATAGAGCCTGATACCAAATCCGATGACATACCACTAAAAGCCTCCTTCCGGGCTAACACCGATCTATTAATTAGTCCTTTGTATATGAAAGCTTTTTAATTTTGTTGGATAAATGCTGTGTTTATGGCACTGGCCTGATTTTCCAGCCTATTAATCCTATTGAAAAACAAATGAGATTAATGTATCCAACTAATGCTAGCCTGTAATGATCACCAGATCAATTTCTAAGGGCTCAAAGGTACTTAGGAAGTTACCTAAAAATGTATCTGAGGGCAGCTCTGCTCTTCTAGTTAACACCTCTCCTCCCTACCATGCCCTTTGTCTTTCCACTTTCTCTAAGAATGCTCCTGAGCTGTATTGCTCTGTCAGCTTTCCTTATGGAAGTCTTCCTCTAACTGCAAGATCTAAAGACCACAAAATTTAGCAGCTGTAGCTTCTTGCCTCTAAAAGTATGAAAGACACTGCAGCCTCTTATGTGTTGCCAAGCCTTCGCATGTCTTTAGTTGATATAATGAATAACATGCATGTTTGATAAATTTAAGAATAAGAAAAGTTTACGCTGGGTACCGAAGGCAGCAGAGGATTTCCATTCTGGTTATGAAGCAAGATCATGGGATGTTAATTGTTTTATTGTGATTTAAAAATGCTGCTATTTCATATTATGTTTTTAGATTAAAAAAAATTGTTAAGCTAATTTAATAGTCATAGTCCATATGTTTTAATTAAAGTCTTAATGACCCTTTCACAGCAATAGAACTAAGGTCGAATAAATTCATTTCTCTGTGAAATGATTTCTAAGTAACTTATGTTTTGGGTCTTTGCCATCAGAATTTCTCCAGGAGAACTACCCGAATTGTGACCTAACAGAATCTGGATATGACTGGAAGTTGTGTATGACGGCTATCAATAGTTGTATCCGTAGCATTCGATATGAATTCAATAAGTCTACATCCAGATCAGAGCCACTTCCAGGAATGACACATTCAGCGAAGTAGGAACCAAGAGACGACAATTTAACTGACTGAAATACTTGAATATCGGCCATCCTACTTTTTTTTTTTGTGCTATTGCATTTTCCTGTAAGTTTCTCAAATTATAATTCTAAACTTAAAAAACTGTTGTGGCAATGTAGTCCTACATTTATACCTGAAGAGATAACCAATATTCTTTTTTTTCCCCACATATGAGGAGGAATTGCATGGGGAAGATGTGTAATGTTTCATGAACAGAGTGATGGGCAGTATTCTGTAAGAACCACTGATTAAGGGAATGTTCTTAAACTCTTTAAGGTTAACTGACCAGTTAGCTCAGCTGGTTAGAGTGTGGCACTAAGAAACTCCTTAAGATTGTTTTCATTGCTGTTTTAATATAGAATGAGAACAGCATGTTTAGCTCTTAATGACACGTGAATTCTGAGTGTTAGTGACGCAGATATAGATAGTGAAGTAAAAAGCCATAGTTGAATGTGCAAACCATAATGCTGAGTTTAGGAACTTGTAGGTAGTAGATACTCAATATTTGTAAAGTGAATTGTCACTACAGAACTTAGGTTTTTTTCACTAATTCAGAAGAGAGGTATAGTTCACATATAACCAAAACACCTGTGCTGGCTTTCTTTTACATCCATTAGTAGGGGATTTCATAGGATTGACAACATATTGTTTGATCTGAGCTTTCCAGAGATGAGACCTGTGTTCTTTAGATTTACTCCTGATAAGACCAGCTTTCTTTCAATTACCTCCTGATAATATTTTGTCACAGAAGTTTGCTAAAAGTCAACATAGAAAATCATATCAGACTTTCTGGTTCCATAGAAGTGACATGAACTTAGGAATACAACGCTATGAATAAAAAGAATCCGATCAGATTTAGACAGTAACATTTTTTGCTTTCTGAAATGTCTGGGCGAAGGTTTAATATGTTTACTGATTGAGTCTACTAGTCAAAATGCATACAGATTTAACTCTTACAATGTTTAAATAAAAAAAAAACTGACCAGAAATTCAATTAGAAAAAAAGTTATCTTAAAGGATATTGGCAGGATATTGGAGAATTAAAAAATAGTTTCACTTTTCTCATGAATAGAATTTTAAAGTTCCTGAATGTTTATTTTGTTTTAAGCACTTCAAAGTTCTTGAATGTTTCAGCCATAGGGAATACTGCATAATTTCACTGTTTGATCATTTGTGTTTAAGAAACATTTTGTCAATTATAATGCCATCTTTCAGCTTTCAACCTATCAAACAGTCCTCAGTTACATTCATTTTATGACATTCCTAGTTATTATTCAAAAAGCAAATTTTTTCCTTGTGATAGTTCAACCTTCAGTTAGGGCCATTTGCTTGTGACCCATGGCTTTGTCTTAGACAATTGATGTTCATTAACTTTGGTTTTTTGATAAGGCAAAGAAGAAACTCAATAGAAAGTGATAAGGCAGTCAAACAATGTAAGTTGTATGAAAATTGACAAGTATTTTTATCTTTGTGACTCGTGAGATAGTTTAAGATGGTTTTATATAATTGATTTGTAGATTAGATACATTATTTTCAAAAATATTTTGAAAACTAAATTCAACTTTTAGAATATTTTACTGAAATATAGTATAGTTTTATAAAAAGGTTAACATTTTAAGACTGTTCTCCAAATAACTTACTGTTAGTTGCATTTAGCTTAGAACTATAGTATTTCTATGCATATTTTTATTTTTTAGGTTATGCCTACAATCCTCTTAAAAAGTAGATAATTCAAGCCAAAAAAATCTATTGCGAGCAAAAGAGCTTTGAGCAGTTATTCAGAATAATTCATCTAAGGTATTCTTTGGCTTCACCATTCAGTTTCACAAATAATTCTACAAACTGCTGGTAATAGAGCTAATATGGTAAAGTAAAACTATATCCTAGGCAAGATTAAAATTCAAATTGCATATGTAGATTTCAAATTTGATTTGTACTTTATACAAAATTTGTATCTGAAGTATTCCCTAGATTAGAAGCAAAATTACAAAAACAAAAATTTAAGATTTACAAAATTTTTTCAAGGTTCATTTGGTTAACTTTATTATGATATTGCTTATATAAGTTATTAGACCAGCCTGAACTTTCCATTAGATTGGTAATATTCTTTAATTTACATTGTCCAATATGGTAGTCACGAGCCACTTGTGGCTCTTGAGCACTTGAGATGTAGCTAATTAGACAAGTTAACTAAATTTTAAATTTTATCTCATTGTAGCTAGTTAAAATTAAAATTTAAATAGCCACACATAGATAGTGGCTACTGTATTAGATAGCACAGTTTAGAATGTTCTTTATTTTTTTAAATAAAAGGTATTTAAAATGGTCCCCAAAGTTTGAATCAAAATAATATGCACTTAACTACTTTAAAAACACTGAGCAAAATAAAGTTCATAAAGTTGCTTCATATTTTATTTTATAGTTTTTATTTTTATGTATTTTATATTTTTTATTTTATAGTATTTTATTTTTTATATTTTATTTCATAGTATTTAAAAAAATTTTTATACATTATTTTAAACAAAATTAGGCCTTTTCTGTTTTCAAAATTTCACAAGTTTATTTGTCCAATGTCAAACATTTGTATTAGTGCAATGTCAAACACTTGTATTAGTGCAATGTCAAACATTTGTATTAATGCAATGTCAAATATTTGTATTAGCCCAATGTCAAACATTTGTATTAGTCCAATGTCAAACATTTTAAATACCTGTTTTTAAGACCTATTTTTGGTAAATTTATCTTTAATATATTATTTTGTTTTTCAAATAAATAAAAGGAGTTAACATTTAAAATATTCTTAATACAGATGCTTGGCATTTTTTTATGGAGTAATTTTATAGAACTTTTACAAATGTCATCTATAGTGTTTATTTTAAATTAATTATAACATTTTCCAGCCAGATCCATAAGTATGGCACAGTTAGAATGTTTGCTTTCTTTTTCGATAAGCAAAACATAATAGTGTAATCCGGTAACATTAATTTACTATTATCAGTGTTATTGTAAGGTTATTGAAAACTTTGGAAGTGTTTCGTCCTTCCTCAGTAAATTATAAGCGTTAGTAAAGCATAATATTTTATACTTCAATACTTATTTAAGTATATGGTAATATTTTTGTTTTGGCCACCAAAGCTTAGATTTTCAGTTCTGGTTTTCACTTTTCTCTATAGCCCATATCCACATCTAGTAGAGTATAGTAGTAGTCTCTCTTTATCTGCAGGTCTATGTTCCAAGACCCCCAGTGGATGCCTGAAACCTCAGATAGTACCCGCCGAACCCTACATACACGATAGCTTTTCCCTGTACATACATATCTATGATAAGATTTAAACTACTCTTGTACTTTGGGGCATTCTTAAGTAAAATAAGGGTTACTTGAATACAAGCACTGTGAATACCATGATAGTTGATCTGGTAACTGATAACCAATAACTGAGTGAGTGTACACAGCGTGGAGATGGTGGACAAAGGGATGATTCACGTCCTGGTGGGATGGAGCGGAACAGCATGAGATTTCATCATGCTAATCAGAATGATACACAACCTAGAACTTCAGAATTGTTTATTTCTGGAATTTTCCATTCAATATTTTCAGACCTTTGTTGAGTGTGGGTAACTATGGCCATAGAAAGGGAAACCTCAGATAAATGGGGCAGTACTGTGATATCTCTGCAGCATTCTGCAACAGTGGCAATAACTACATTCGCTCTGGTGTGGGAGTAAAGTTCTTGTCACCGCTTCCTTCACCTTAACTTATTTTAACTCACAATATGTAAAATTTGAGATGACCTTTTTCACCATGGTAAAAAATCTGCTTGTCCACTTTAAGACAGAATAATTGCTAATCTCAAATAATTAGTAAAATTGATTTGGAAGATTGATAGGTGATAGGTACAAATCTTAGTATACCAACACAGGTGGGCGAAAAATATTACTTTTTCTATAACAACGTAATTTCTGTTTTGATTGCACAGCTTCCAGGTGTTCTCACCAGCCCTTGTGGTCAGATGGGGCCGGGAGCCCCGGTGGAGCTATGTTTCAGACCACTTTCCTCTGTGTGACCAGGTGGGGCTAGTACAGGCAACTCGCAGTTTTTTCAAGCAGGTCTTCTGGTCTGGAGGGGCCAGGACCTACCCTCAGCCTTGGCTATGAGTTGATCTCTGTGCCTGGACAGAGCAAGGGAAGCCTTTGCGCCAGGTACTGGCTTTGCTCTGGGGTAGGCAGCACCACCTACTAGACTCCAGTGAGGTTTCCAGGTGTTCCCAGCAGCCTCTCTGGCTCATGGGCCCTGGAGCCGCTCTCAGCAGAGCTGCAGTGACTCAGCACCCTGCCTTGATGTGGGCAAACCAGGCTTTAAAGCAGGCAAAACTCCTCACTGAATTTGGCGGACCTGCACCCCAATGAGTTCCCTGGTCAGAGTGCACCCCAACGTGGTTCTGCAGATGAGCAAAGCTGCTGGCTGGGATTACTACTTGAGTGCTGCAGGTAGGAACTCAGTTGACCAAGATCCCTGTGCTGGTTATTGCGAGCCCCTCCTCTCTTCCTCATCTTAGATTCACAGTGGTTGAGCCCTGCAGATTCTCTTGTAGGCTGCTGGGGCAAGGCCAGAGTAGGGGCTCCCACAAAGCATGCACAATGCTTGGGGGCTGCACAATGCTTGGGGGCTGGTTGTACCCTGGGCTTTCTTCCCACTGGAGGGTGCTGTGATGGCCTGGGGCAGGCGATGTGGTCAGCCTGTAGCCACTTCTCCTACCCATCTAATGCAGTCTGTCTTGGTCTCTGTAGTGCAGGGTGCTTCCACCTCACCCCTGTTCTAGGATTCTCCCAGTGGTGTCTTCTACATGAGTTGTTCTCATGGGGGGCAAGGAGAACCAAGTCAGGAAGGAGCTATGTCGCTATCTTGGTGGCACCACTCTGCATTTTGTTTTGAGCCTCCATACACTAGGAGTAGAAAGTTCACCTTAGTCATTCAAGATTTT